TGATGGCAGATTTGAACTCAGGTCCTCCTGACTTCAGGGCTGGTGCTCTAACTACTGTGCCACCTAGCTGCCCCCCCTAATTTGTAAAATGAAGATTTGTGTTACATTTCTATGGTTCCTTTTTGTTTTACCTCCTATAACCCATGAAGTACAAGTTAGGATCTTTGCCTTCTCATTTTCACAAATTCTTTAGAATGCAGCATTTAGTCCACTTCTGCCTTAACAGTGTCTAGATCATTGCTAATGAAGCATCCACATTGACAAAATTCCTCATTTTATTTTTTGCCTCAGAGTTTTTATTTAATCTGTTTAAAGTGTCTTTCAAAAAGCAGATCAGTAACTACTCTGCAATTAGAGGTGGCTGGGACCCTGATATTAGTATAAGGGACTCCCTCAAGGTCACACATGCAGTTTGTGTCCATGGCAGGAAGAGAGCCAGATAATCTCCTTCCTCACCTGGCTGCCCTACTCTGAGAATTCTCTAACTTCACCACATCCCAGGAAGCTCTTATTGGGGAAACCTCATCACCATGCAAGATACAATGGGAGTCTCCGTAATCTACCTCCTCACCATCTTTGATTGGAAGATGGGGTCATAAGTTCTAAACCTTCATTTAAAGAGCCCAGCTCAGACATCTCCTAATTTCTCACATGCTAACTTCTCTTTCTCAATCTCTCCCACCCTCCCTCTTCACCTTCCTTTTGTTGGTTGTCTTCCCCCAGTAGAGTGTAAATGCCTGGAGGGAAGGAACTATTTTTTTATGTATTTTCATCTCCAGTGCTTAGCATAGTCTCTGGCACATGGTAAGCACTTATGCAGCTAGGTGGCACAATGGATAGAGCACCAGCCCTGAAGTCAGGAGGACCTGAGTTCAAATCCAGTCTTAGACCAAACACTTGACACTTACTAGCTGTGTGACCCTGGGCAAGTCACTTAACCCCAATTGCCTAAAAAAAAACCCGTTTATTGACTGAATCTTGACTCTGAGAACAGTGTACTATGTTCACTCATTCAAGGTAACTAAGTGGCAAAGTGGGTAGAATGACAGGTCTGGATTTAGAAAGACCTGTTTATATCCAGATTTGAGCACTTGGGTGTGTGACTACAGGCAAATCACTTAACATCCATCTGCCTCTGCTTTCTCATCTATAAAATGGGGGTAAAAATAGCACCTATGTTGCAGTGTTGTGCGGAAGTGCTATGTAAATGCTGGCCATTGCTATTGCTGAATGTGCCATGGCAATTCATGAGGTTGCTCCTCTGCTCTACATATTTTCCATCCCCATTTGGAGGAAAGTTCAAGTAGAAAGTTTGTCCCACATAATCCTGATCCACAGCATTCACATTTGTTTTTGTTTTGAAAAAGCAGCTTCTGCCTTCTCAGAACAGGTAGTGTTTTGTTGTAGCTAGGACAAAGAGGTGACCTGATTCGGGGAGAGGTAAGAGCTATTCATTGTTCATTTCTTTGTCCTCATCCAATTGCTTTCCACCCCTTCGCGCTGGGTCCTTTTCTTCTGGCCATTTATCTACCCTGGGCTTAGAGCCTTCAGGGATACAGGCCTTTACTACAGCAGGCACTCGAGACCTAAAATTCAGGAGAAAAAAGATCCTAAAAGTATGTAACACTTTCCACTCATTTGCAAATCTTTGCTATCTGGCTTTCATAAGCAGTCTCATAAAGAACTAGAGTCTAATTAATTTTTCTACTAATTGTTGTGTAACTAATCTTTGGTGAGTCTGTCACACAACAAGCACTTAATAAATGTTAGTGATGGACTGAGAGACTTTTACCTTTAGGAAATAAGGGTGAGAATCTGAAATATTAAGGAAGGTTACAGAAGACCAGGGCCCAATGCTTTGATAATTTTCCCTTTACCTTTCAGAGTCAAGATATCAGGAAAAAAGGGAAAATTGCAGAAGTGACTATATTATATAGATATAATTCCTAAATGATTATTTTATGTATGGATCAATTGGTAATGTTCAGCAATAGTTTAATATTCAACAACAGACATAACCTGTGGAAACTATTCACATCAGAGTTTAGCCACAGTATCTACATGAAATGCTTTAGTTTTTATTAAGTTGAACTTAAGGGCCATTTAGTCTTGTCAAAGTTGAAGGCTCTTGTGAAAACCTCAAATTTCCTGTGATTATTAATTCATATAAAACATATGTAAAGCCTTCTTAAATATTTTCTAGGGTGAATTAATGTTTGCAACTAGAAGTATAAATAGTTGTGTGGGATATTCTGTTCCCCTTTCCCTTCACCATCCTTGACTTCCATTTAATATTATTTTCAAGAATAGATTATCTGAATGTACTAACAGATCAATATCAGAATAAAAAGGTATCCTACCAAGAACCATTTCAATAAACATTGGAATTAAAATTCTTAACAAAAAGTCATGCATTTGGTACATTTTCGCATGCTGTTTGGCTTTGGGGGCAGCTAGGTGGAGCCATAGGGCTTAGACTGCCAGGCCTGGAGTCAGGAAGACTCACGTTCCTGAGTCACTTAACCTTGTTTACCTCAGTTTCCTCACTTATAAAAGTAACTGGAGAAAGAAATGGTCAACCACTATAGTACCTATGCCAAGAAAACCTCAAATGAGGTTATGAAGAGTCAGATACAACTGAAATGGCTGAACAACAAAATTGTCTTTTATTTTTTATTAAACCCACCATTAATGCTTTGGTGTTCCTAATTGTGTGGAGTCATGTTGTACTTGAAGGATAATGTTACTGTGCTAGAAGTATTAATCCCTATACTGATCAAATGAAGAAGATTACTTTTAATTATTCTGGTATTCAGATTCAATTTACTAGATAGAAATGTGAAGCTTTCAATGTATGTAAACCCACAAACCTAAATGAATCCATATATTGTGACTTCAAAATGCTCAAGCATCTTTAAGAAATGCTGAAGGAGTGTCAGGATCTGATTTCTAATAACAAAGAAGGAAAAACTATAAAATGCAAAATTTCCATGAAACACACATATATGTTATACATGTACACATGTGTCTATATGTAAATATATAAATAAAAGTGAGTTCAAAAGTGGAGGGAAGAAAAATCTTTAAAAATCTGGAATATTTTAAAGGACATTTTTGGGGTAGGATCCTAGGAATTCTGACAGCTTAAAAGTGGAATCTTGTCTCCCAAATACTGCCCCACCACCACACATCTGAATTTTTAATTTTATTATGCTGCAGGAAATTCTACCATTTAGAATAAGGGCTCTAAACCTGGGATTTGCAAACTGAAAAAAAAAAAAAGATAACTGTACTTCTAGTTTATGACTTTAAAATCATTATTCTAAGAAAGGGTTCATAGGCTTTACCAGATTATTATACAAAAAAGGTTAAGAATTCCTGCTTTAAAGAGTCATTTGCATTACTATGTACTTTCTTTTAAAAACTGCAAAAAACTTTGGGAAGATTAGTAAGTTAACAATGAGTTTCATGATGTGAATTAGATGGATCAGATTTTAATTCCTAAAATTTAGCTAGCATGAAGATATTAGAATGAAGCGAGAGAGAAACTTGGGGTTGGGAGAAGGTACAGAAAAAGAGGTGGGATGAACTTTGCCTGTTTCAAAATTTTGCCTAGGACTGACCTAGGAAGGAAAGAAGGAGAAAGTTCATCCAATTCTCTTTTCTTCCCCTCTGATTCTAAAACCCCAAATCAACTATGTAAGTTTTTGTGAATTGGCTGGACTGCCTAAATCATCAAAATGGTTCTATGGTAAAAAAAAATTCTTACAAGTTCTAAATAAATTTTTGCAACAAAGCCTGCTATCTATATACATTTAGACATTTTTTAATAGAAATGTCACAAGTACCTCTTCTTTTTTTAGTGGAACTAAATGGAATTATGGAACTTGGGAGTTTTGTGCCAACCTTCATGCACACAGGAATCTGAATCTGATTTTTTTTTCATTTCTTTATCAAGCATATTGTGTACACTTACATGATCCATAGCGAAGACTCAGGAGCTGCTAGTTCCAAACTAAGAAGGACTACTTGCACTGAAAACCCACTTTGATTTACAATCTATTTAGAGCTCAAGATTGATACTGACCAAATAAAACAGAAAGTAGAAATCGTTTGCACAAAGAGCATATTGTGCCAATTTATTATAGAATGCAGTTTAAAAAAATGATGTTTCAAGGTTAGGTTCTCCAATTAAAAACCACATAACTGGAAACACTTGGACAGCTACATAACGGTGTTTTTTTTCCTCCTGGTGTGTTGTAAACAGAATTCTGAGAGCATTCGACTACATTCTTGATCAGAGTAACTAAAGAATAGCTTCCAAACTTAACTGTTCCTTCAGGGAAACCATATTTCAAATTTCTGAGGCATGCATTGTTATTTGGCATTAAGTACTTCAACATGAAACACTTTGCTATGGCATTGTAAATCCAAAACGTAATACTTATTTACTGGACATACACATTGCAATTAGGAAAAAACCCAACACATATAGATAGTAGAATTCCACTTGAAATTTGGGGAAAGGCACTGCATTCCTCTTCTATAATCACACATTTACTATCCACTTCACATGCTTGGAACCCAAACTCTGTTAAAAATGTTTTAACAGCATCTTCTACAACATACAGATACACAAGTAATTATGCTTTGCAATAGTCTTTCATTGTCATACTTTCACCCAGCTATACACAGCTATGAATATACTTTAACAGCTTTATTTACAAGTTTAAGTTTATTTTCATATTTCAGTGGAAAAAAAATCAAAATATTTGCGCCAATATTCCCCAAGTAAGCCTACAGCTAGCATTCATATTTTAACAAACATTAAATAAACCCTAATCCCAACAAAAAAACACCTAAACTAAGACTACCCACTTGCTAAATTGTGCAATAAAAATGCTATTTTTTTAATTCTTCAGGCTAAATCCCACATATGAATGTTAAAATCCAGATCAATTTCTTTTGGAAAGCACAGTTACATATGGCATCACGTAAGATGTCAGTGAATGCATTCCAACTGTAAATTGAGTTTCACCAAAAACAAAGGACTAGGATCTGGAAGGGCAATAAATATTAAAGGCTTTCTCAAAATGTAAAACAACAAAGAAACTCAATAAGAGACTGACACAAAAGTTAGTTTGGAAAATCAGTAACTACACATACACAAAATAAGAAAACATAAGGAAAAAGAAAACATTTCAAAATTCCCACATTGTATGTTTTTTTTTTAAACAGTGCTACTGTACTATGTATTCCACACAATGACTGTAGCCCACCAGATGATGACTTCTATCATTGTAGATTGTGTAGTAACATAAGGCTCTCCCCATACCTGTGATCATCTTTTCTCTGAAACAAAACAAAAACAAAACAAAACCAAAACAGCCCACCTGAAAAGAACGAGTACAAGTGTCACTTATTGGCTTTTTCAATTCTTTCCCAAATGTCTGATCATCATTAACTCAGTGATGGGCATAAGGCCTTTCTAGGGCTCCATGAACACTAACTGATGTGCAGCACTGAGAACAAGGAGACAGGTAGCTCCTTGATTCTTTTCTGAGCAACATGAACTGGAAATCTGGCCACAGCTACCCGTCTTTGTTGCCACCACAAAAACCAAGACCTGACATTTCCATAGTAAAAGATTACTCCCTATGAATGAACAGTGGTTTGGAATTCATCTACGCCATTATGCCAGTTCAGCTTAAATGAATAGGTGTGTACTCGGGTCTTCTTGTCTGAATAATTTTTGGTTTGGGTTTCTTCATGCCTTCAGCCTCATCATCCTCTTCATTTTCCTGATCGCTCTCACATACATGGACCACCACACTGGGAGTGGTGTCGGTTGCTGCATGCAATTCATATTTTTCACCTGTGAGTGGAAAACAATCACAGAATCATAGGATACCTTAGAAATGCCCCTAACTAGTTTGAAAATAAAACCAAGAAGTAGTAAATGGAAATGCAGGTGGCTAGAGTACACATTAGTTCGAGTAACTTGCCAAGGAAAAATGAATAAATTTAGGGAGACCAGTATTCATCATGGCTAAACAGGGATTCTTAGACTTTTTTGTGTATAATGAACCCTCTGAAGAGCTATAGACACCATCTCAGAATATTTCATTTTTGTTTTTGTTTTTACTTTTTGGTGAGGCAATCAGGGTTAAGTGATTTGCCCAGGCTCACACAGCAAGTAAGTGTCAAGTGTCTGAGGCTAGATTTGAACTCAGGTCCTTCTGACTCCAAGGTCAGAGATCTATCCACTGCGCCACCTAGCTACCCCTTCAGAATACTTCTAAATATATAAAATAAAGTACATAGATTATGAAGGAAACCAATTATGCTGAAATATGTTTATTTCAATCTAAAATTTTTAAAAACAAATTCATGAACCCTTGGTTAAGAATCTCTGTAGAGAGATTCTGCAATTTTCAGTATTTGGAAGCTTAATCCTAAAAAACAAGAACAATAAAAAAAACCTATTCCCATAGCACCCAATTCTTCTGAAATAAAAAGAAATTCAAAGCTCATTTGGAATGATGTAATGACTGGAAAAAAAATCTGAAAATAGACCTATTGAGAAGTCTATTTTGTACCCTAAGGCACGTTGACAAACTCTAGGTGACTACCAATTTCATCTTGGTGCTGAGTATTTTCAGCACAAAGAACATTTCATTCTTATTGCTCAAGTGTGTTTGTGAAACAAGTCAACACTTTAATACTTTGAGAATTTATCCATGTATCAGTGTGTTTTCTCCTTTGAAAAAGATAGACAATTATCTACCCCTGCCACAACAGACAGTTTCCGTGGCTTGCTTTGTCTTCAATCTTCCTACAGCCAGCCTGCTAATGAGCAGTTTTTAAATTTAGGGAGGTTTGTCCTTAGACATGAGAGTCCATTAGTAGATCAGATCAGAACTTGTATTCCACTGAGATAGCCTGGAAATTGCAGGGTTACCTGCCTGTTACAATGAGGCAACAGTGAACTTCAGTGGAGGATCCAATACCTGGCACAGTGCTCTGTGTGTGTGTGTGTGTGTGTGTGTGTGTGTGTGTGTGTGTGTGTGT